TAGACGGGGCAGCAAAGACAGCTCTAGAGGACACACCTAGATTGTCTATGCATTGTCTTCCACCATCTCAGATTCTCATAATTATGTCAAAGGAAAGTTCATAGACACTAGTATAAAAAAAAAATGTAAGAAAGAAATGCAGACAGAAGGTCGCCAGGATAACAGAAGTTGCTTTTTTGTTTGTTTTGTTTTTTAATGGAAATGGATGGGCTGCAACGAAAGTCTAGTTCTCAAATCTTTTCCACAGAAAAACTGCACTACAAGAAGCACCGGCCTGCCGGGCGGTGGTGGCGCACGCCTTTAATCCCAGCACTCGGGAGGCAGAGGCAGGCGGATCTCTGTGAGTTCGAGGCCAGCCTGGTCTACAGCGCGAGATCCAGGAAAGGCGCAAAGCTACACAGAGAAACCCTGTCTCGAAAAAACCAAAAAAAAAAAAAAAAAAAAAAAAAAAGAAGCACCGGCCTAAGGATAAGAACATGACTCAGACAGGCTGGGTACAGAAAGAAGCTATACATCGGTGAGGAATTGATTTCTAAACCGTATCGTGACAAGCAAAGGATAAGGGAGCTCTTTCAGCGAGTGGTGCTAGAATCTATATGCAAAAAATAAAGAAAAGGTAGTTTGGACCTACCAGCATTAATAGAGATTAACCTCAAATGGATCAAAGACTAAGATGTAAGGCCCAAAGGAATAAAAGTTCTTAAAAAAAAAAAAAAAGCAACAAGAATATCTCTGAACTTTAATTAGGGCAAAGAGTTTTATAACATCAAAGTCCTGAAATTTATATGCTAGCACACGCTTGCAATCCCAGCTCTCTGGAGGCAGAGGCAGGAATATCCCAAGTCTGAAGCTAGCTTGGACTACATAGCAAATTTCATGCTAGCCTCTGCTACAAAGGGAGATTCAGAGACAGGAAGGGACTGGGCGGGGGGAGGGGGGGGGGCTTTAGAAAAATAAATAAACTGAACTTCATTATAATCAAATATTTCTGACCACTAGGAATATGATCAGTACAAATATCATACACATATAGTTTCCTATATTGCTGTAATTTAGAATGAATTAAAATTTATATTATATCACTGCAGGACATTGGACTGGCTAGTTTTATAAGAACTCAACACAAGTTAGAGCCATCAACTGAGAAATTGCCTACAAATGAAATTGCATCTTACATTGCTGCAGGTAAACACGAGGGCATTTTCTTAGTAAGTGATTTATGGGAAGGGCCCAGCTCATTGTGGGTGGGGCCATCCCTTGGCTGGTGGTCCTCTAACCATAACTAGGACAGATGTAGAAGAGAGACTCCACCAAGAAGGCTCATGAAGGCAGTCAGCGACTAGGTGGTGGGGGGAATGTGTGCAAATCTTATTTCCAAACTATATACACACATATATATATAGAAGCAAAGACCAACAACCCAATATAAAAGTGGGCAAAAGAGCCTGAACTGACCTACTCTGGTGATGGGATGGCCAAACACCCTAATTGTTGTGCTAGAAACCCCATCCAACTACTGAGGGATCTGGATGCAGAGATCCATGACTAGGCCCCGGGTGGATCTCTGGGAGTCCAATTAACGAGAATGAGGAGGGTTTATATGAGCGAGAGTTGTTGAGACCAAGGTTGGATAAAGCACAGGGACAAATGGCCAAATGAATGGAAACACATGAACTATGAACCAATGGCTGAGGGGTCCCCACTGGATCAGGCCCTCTGAATGGATGAGACAGTTGATTGGCTTGATCTGTTTGGGAGGCACCCAGGCAGTGGGACCAGATCTTGTGCTCATTGCATGAGTTGGCTGTTTGAAACCTGGGGCCTATGCAGGATTGTTTGGCTCGGCCTGGGAGGAGGGGACTAGACCTACCTGGACTGAGTCTACCAGGTTGACCTCAGTCTGTGGGGAAGGCTTTGCCCTGGAGGAGATGGGAATGGGGGGGGGGTGTTGAGGGGAAGGTGAGGGGGACGGGAGGGGGGGAGAACAAGGGAATCCGTGGCTGATATGTAGAACTGAATTGTATTGCAAAATAAATTAATAAAAAAAAAAAAAAAGAAAAAAAAAAAAAAAAAAAAAGTGGGCAAAAGATTTGAATAGCCCTTACCCTAAAGAAGGAATGACTGCAGACATACAGCTAGACAGGACCTGCTATGAAAAAACCCTAAGAAAATCACACATCCAGTTAAACACCAGCAGGGCTGAAAACCAACCTCGATGTGGCTGTCATACAAAATCAACTGTACTTCCATACACTGCTAAGTAAATCATCTGAAAATGAAATTGTTAAAAATTCTATTTGTAAAGGTGTGAAAAGAACAGCAACAAGAATCTCTTTACAAGAAAAACACGAAAGTGCAAGAGCTGTACTCTGAAAATAACATACTGCTGCTCAAAGAAGCCAGACCTAAAAACGCAGAGCTAGGCTCCAGGTCATGAGTTCCCGAACCAACACTCTTCATAGTGAGATCGCGTCAGGGTGACGGCTATCAAAAGGTTGGTTCAACATTCAGAATGCAATGAATACCAAAGAAAAACCGTAACTCAGCTACTTTCCTTACACAGCCCAGAGAGGGCACTACTCACAGTGGGCTGGGCTCTCATACACCAATCAGCAGTCAAGAAAAGGCCGCCCCAGACATGCCCACAGCCAATCTGACCGAGGCAGTTCCTCAGCTGAGGTTTTCTTTCCTGTGTCTCCAAGGTGACAAAACTGGCCAGTACAATTGTATCCATGTTAGGCTACATTATCAAAGGCCGCAGAGTACATAAACCACACAGAAAGAAAAAAAAAATAAGAATATACAGCATAAAGAGTGAACCTAAGAGAAAACTCAGACTTTAGTGAAGTATATCAATACTAACACACGTGCCAAACTGATATAAGACCTAAGTAAGAATAGGGGAAAAAGCAGCGACAGTACTTTCCACTCGATTCTTTTATAGCCTAAACTTACCCCTGAAGAAGTCTACTAAATTTAAAATAAGTAATGTTAATTATATAAAACAAGTAATGTTAATTATGAAAAAATCAAATAGTGAAAATAAAGCCTAACATTCACCAGGGTGGAGAGAGGGCAGCTTCAAGGCTCACTGCTGTGCCTGGATTGGCTGGGACGGAAGCCAGAGGAGGTTTTGGGGAGAGCAGCGGCCCTGCCCAGGCTATTAAACTCTGGGCAGCTTCCTGACAACCCCTCATTTGGCTGCCTCCCCAGCCATTGTATTTACAGTAAATAAGACACCAGGACTAGCATAAGGAATTATCTTCCTTATCAGCAATTTGCTCTAAGTATAGGCTCTGGGAAGCCTTCCTTTTAGATTCAAAAAGCAAGTAATTGAGTTAAATAGATTTTCAAATGTTCCCGAAACCTAAATCCCATTTCCCCTTTGTTAACAGCCCTCTCTGCTAGTGGAGTTCCATCCCTGCTTCCAGGCAACCTGTTCCAACTCCAGCAATACTTCCACAAAGCCCCTCCGCTCCGCACTGGCCTGTCCTCTACACCTTGACCCCGTGACAACAGACTACTCCACAGCTATCTCACAAGGACAGCTCACAGCCTGGAAGCCACTGCCATCAGGGTGCTTTAGATGTGACAGTCATCTGACCCCCCCAGCTAATCTGTAGGGTGAAACAGAAGACGCTGCTTTAGGGCTAATTCGGGGTGGAAGTTGTGTGTGCCAAGCATACGGGCACATGTGTGTCTGCTTATGTGAATGTGTTAGAATGTGAGCATGTCTACGTGTATCTGTGCATTTGTGTTGTGTATGCGTGTACATGTGATATATACATATACATAGATGTGTGCATATATGTGTATATATGTACATAAGTATGTACAGGTATGTGTGGATTTATGTATATGTTATCTAGGAATATATGTATGTGTATATGTATTTCTCTGTGTGTGTGCATGTTCATATCATATGCATATATGGGTATGCCCATCCTCCCCAACTTCTGCCCCTCCTCAAATCTCTCTGCTCTGATTTCTCTGGTCGACTTATTTCTCCTAAAGTTGCCTCCAGCAGCTCCAGCTTAGCAAACTCACAAACAGGAAAAGGCATCTTCTCAATACTTTTTTCAGTGACAGCACAGAGGCCTCCAACCCCTGACCACTGTGACCCATGACTGGCCAGGCTTATGTCATATGCCCAGAGTGAGTCAGTGTGTCCTCTCCCCCAGAGGGGGAAAGTGAGGCCGGGGTAAATGCCTGGGGGAAATCTGGGTGAACTTATTAAGGATGCAGGGGTGAGCAAGGCCAAGCCATGCTCTCAGACTGCTGGATCCTCCTTGCTGGTGAGGACCTGTCACGTGCTTACAGTTCATGCTGAGGGCCCTGCCACTGACAGCTGCCTGCAGAACGGTGGTCCCTGAACACGCACTCCTCAGAGTGAACTCTCTACATCATTTTATTCTCCTGATACACAGGCCTATTAGCACACATTTATCTAAATGCTATTATTGTTTTGGGGGCATTTCCTTTCTATATGAACATCTTAATGCCAAAGTGTACGAACTGCTGAAAATGAAGGGGTTCAGTAGTTTTTGTCTGGGCAGAAAAGCAAGTATTACGATTTTGTCAAACAAAGTGTGAACAGTCAGGAATCTCAACAGAGACGAGCCATCCTTCCAAGTATGAACCTAGATAAGTTATAATGCTTTGAGTGAGGATACAGTTTCCTCTCTACTACAAAGCCAAGACTATCGAGGCTGTTGTGGGTGGCCTCTGGTTGTAACTCTTTCCATAATTGTACTGAAGATCTTCTCTATATGAGAGAGAAAAGGGAAGACGAAAGAGGATGAATGGACCAAAGGACAGAAAAGAAAACAACAATATACCCTGAGAAAGCAGTCAGGATACCTCGCTGACATGAATCTGGGAATCTCTCAATTAACTGGGGACGACCATTTAGGATTGGCTCCAAAACCCAGAAAGAAAAAGCAGGGGTCCCAACCAGACCCACTTTCTCCAACGCCTTCTTCGTACACCAACCATGGCCGCACTGACGTCAGCGTCGGAATCAGCTTTTCACAGGAGCTTTCGTTTATGGATTTTCCATCCGGCAAAGGGTTCTATTCCAGGGCTGGGCAGATCCAACCACAGCATTGCTTGGCTAGAGAGCACACCAGCTCCCCCACAGATGCTCCAACCTGGAGGGGTAGAGGCAGGAAGCCATTTACTAGGCGTGATATTCTCATTCATTGACATTTATTCCCTCTCTCTTTCTCACTCTCCTCTCTCCAACATAACCCAAACCACCACCTCCCAAAGGTTTAAAATCACTAATGAACAGAAACCATTGGTGCAGGTACCCTAAACACAAGCTGGGCCCCACTGGGGAGAGGGCTGGAACATTGAATCGTGACTGAAAAGGGTCTCTGACCGGTGATGCCCTCTGTCTGTGGAAAGTTTTAAAGCCAGATGTTATAATTAACCACGGAAAACACAAGCTACAACTGAAATTTCATGAACACACTGATTCTGCCCCATGGAAAACCACAGGAATGTTCTGGCAAGACCAAGTCTGAATTCTTGGGACACAGCGGCCTGGAGTCATTCCCCTTAGGAACTCAAACAGAAAATTAACTTGCTCAATATGTTTCAAAAAAGCAAAATGAAACCCAGATTTAATCTCAATCAAACACGAAAAACATTTCAGAACTTCAAAGGACACCACAAAGACACCAAAGCAGAAACCACAAAGCAAGCTCTGTGTAGTTCAGGAATTAGAATACATTTGCATCGCAATGTGAAGAGAGCCACAATTTTATGGGGTCGAATAACAAAAGAGACACTAACCATCTTTCGTTTCCTAATGGGGGAAATGATGTACAAAACCAATCAATCCTCAATGAATAGGCCGTAAGTATTATTAAATGTATACTGTATCCATAAGTATTATCAAATATATACTGTATCCATAAGTATTATCAAATATATATTGTATCCATAAGTATTATCAAATATATACTGTATCCACAAATGTTATCTAATGTATACTGTATCCATAGGTATTATCAAATGTATAAGGTATCCATAAGAATTATCAAATATATGTTGTATCCATAAATATTATCAAACATATACTGAATCCCCATAAAGGCAATCCATAACTACTCTACTGCTGCAGAGCCGTACCTTGGCTCCAGTGATCAAAGACACTCAGACAGACAGTGTTAAAATAACTGATGCTGAATAATATTGGGACCGACAATTTCAGCTCCCAATAAGCAGATGAGGCAGTCTTCTGACAGCAGTTCTTAAGCAGCAAGAGCTAAGAGATTAAGAAGTCTAGGCGTGTTAGCGTGAATTATACTAGTAGCTATGACAACATCTATACATTCCAAATATTGAAAGTCTATGCAAGGAGGAATTGGGCCAATGCTATTCTCAGAGATCAGTCTAGAATTCTTTTTCTGTAAGTCAAAACGGTATCCATCAACCCTCACAAATGTGCCAAAAATAGTATCGTATTAATCTCTATCTTCACTTGAAAGTTCAGTCACAAAAAACCAAAGATAATAAACCATATATTCATAGAATTGCCCATGGATAGTCTAAAGACATCAAAACATGAATAATGGCATTCTAGAATATATTTGTATTTCCTTTTTGATGTTTTCTAGTTTTTAGACAATTAACATATGTGGTTCCCACAATTATAAAGTTTTTAGTTTTGTTTTTTTTTTTAAGAGTATGAGAATACAAAACGAGATTGGGCTTCTATCTATATCCACTTTCTCTGTAGATTGCCTTTTATCTGAATAATAAGGGCTAAGGAAGTATTTATTCATCTAAACTCAGTACAGACTGTTCATCCCTGATGTAAAAATTAAAAATATTCTAAAACCTAAAATGCTTTCAATGCCAACACGGCCCCATAAGTGGAAAATTCTGTGATACAAAACTGAATTTCATATGGAAAAATCTTCAAAATATTGCATAAATTTCCCTTCAGGGTATATGTATATAGTGCCAGGAAACAGAGATTAAATCTTCGTTTATACTTGGACCTTACCCTCAAGATATCTCATTATATAAATATCTAAAAATCAGAAAAAAAATAAAAGATATCTGAAACACTTCTGGTCCCACACAGTCCACAGAAGGAATATCACTGTATAGCACTTCACTTAGAAACTCAAAACTCCAGTGTCCAGTAACACTTCAGGCTGATAAACAAAACTTTCCTAGAAATGTACTTTCTTGCTCTTTTCCACAAAGTTTCCACAGATAGAAAATTCTATCCAAATTTTGCTCTCAATAGTCTACCACACATCCAGAATTCTAGACTGATCTCTGAGAATAGCATTGGCCCAATTCTTCCTTGCATAGACTTTCAATATTTGGAATGTATAGATGTTGTCATAGCTACTAGTATAATTCGCGCTAACACGCGAAGACTTCTTAATCTTTTAGCTCTTGCTGCTTAAGAACTGCTGTCAGAAGACTGCCTCATTTGCTTATTGGAAGAGTTAACAGTTTCACAATACCAAGGCCTTTAGCTACCCTAGACACTCCAAGCATCCCAAGAAACTAAGAGCACAGTGGTAGAATCTTAATCCTGGGGCCTCGGTGACTTCACTCCATATCCAGAGAGGTCAAATGCTTTTCCTCTGCCACACTGCAAGGAAGTAGGCATCTAAATCCAGCACACTCTGGATGCCTCCAACTCTGACCCTGTATATAGCTCCTTCTACCACTGAGATACCTCAGCATGCACTCTTAGAAGTAACACATGTATGAGTCACATACACCTGCTCAATCTATATCAGCAAAATCAGAATAGGCAGGAATTTGTTCCACTGAAACCGAAATTCAGGCAGAAAGAAAAGAGAGGACTCAACTCTGGGCTTTAAAAGTCACAGCTCTGCTCACAATGCGCTCACAGAAGGAACAATGGCTGTACTGTGCACTGGTGGCAGGTGTCCTCAACAGAAACTGCCTGTCAAGCTGAGAGCTTTCTGGTCCTAGCACTGGCCTTGTTGAGAGCAGCGTAATTCCCCCCAGTTCAAAGCAAGACAAGAGCTTTTCAACAAGATAAAACTAAGCTACACCATGCCACTCGCAAGAGACAGGAAAGACACATGCTCACCTCTTTTAGGAATAAGTGATTCACGGTATCAAATCCTGGAGGGTACCTCTAAAATAATCTACATCTTAAGGGAAAGCCGTTAGCAGTTTGGAAAATGGAGGAAGCAAGTCGTTAAAAACGAAAATAAACAAAGCGATCTCTGCAGCCTCAGATAATGAGCAGCTTTTCCTTTCCTTCAGAACTATTTCTCTGAAACAGAACCACCGCTGCGTCGGCTAGCTCTCCACCTACAAGGTCCATGACACATGCATCAGATGCCTAAGATTTTCACAAAGTGTGACTGGCTTGAAGAGCAAGGGGGCAGGCAGATGGCAATGACCAACTCAGAAACTCGCCCTGAAGGGCCTATAATGAGGCCTTCCCAGCATCCTTTCCCTGCTGTATCCCAGGATAACAAAGGCCTCAACTGTGAATCAGCCGCACCAGGGATGATGTGGCCCAGCTTTGTCACAGCCCAGCACAGCACAATGGCTCTGCCTTGACTGAAAAGCCAGGCACTGGATGAAAGAGAGGAAGAAAAAAGCTTTCTTTCTACCCCAAACTGCTCTTAACATCTCCACCATCCATTTCCCTGGCTGTACCTAAAGAGAATACAGTGGGGACCATCAGCTGTCTCCTCAAATGCCTTAGTTCTAATAGCCCAGTGTCCACACAGCCAAAGGACGGATGTTTTCCAACAGCACCAGATCCGGGTGACAAGTCATGTTCTAATAATGTTCTACAGTCATTTGTCAGAGGATGACACTATTTAAATTTAGCAGTCTGGTCAGAACTCCGACCTACCAACCACAAACTGGACAGAATCTTGGTGAAGTTACCAAATTGTCTTTCTCAGTAGATGACTAGATGAGAAATGAGAAGGACGTGAGACAAGGCGCCTTGAAGGCTTGGTGACTTGGTTGTGTGTTGTTTGGTTTGGGGCTGCAGCTAAAAGGTTTCCACAAAATGAGCACCCAGGAAGAGCCACCCCTGGAGAATCTGAATGTTTGGCCAGTGTTTTTCTCTTCCTTGTCTGCTGTTCCATGGAAGATGTCTGCTTCGTGGGCCAGATTCCAGAAATGTCAGCAGAGCCAATTTATCACTGCTTAAATTTCTATCTCAAAATGACCGGGCATGCAAGCCAAGAAAGAATGGACGGAGAGCAGTCCTCTCAGAGAGTTTGAATTTAGAACTCAGAATGTGGGCTTGGGTGATGGCTCACTGGATGAGCAAGTCTGATGACCTGAATTCAAATCCCCAGAATCCGTGTAAAGGCTGCGTGTGGTCATGCTCATCTATAATCACAGTGCTGTGAGGGACAGAGAAGGGATAAATGCCACCAGCCTAGCTCCAAGTTCTATGGTGATATTTTATTTGTATTAAAATGCTATTTGTATGTTAATAAATAAAGTTGCCCGGGGGTCAGAGCTATTAGCAAGCCATAGGAAAGCAGGGCAGTGGTGGCGTACGCTTGTAATTCCAGCACTTGGTAGGCAGAGCTGGGTAAGTCTCTGTGTGTTCAGGGATACAGCCATTATTGGATACACATGCCTTTAATCTCAATACCAATCATGGAAAACCTGGAGGCCTATACAGACAGGCCGTGAGGAGGCGGTCATGTGGTTGGGTTTACAACCAATGAGAAGGCAGGACAGGAACTCTATATAAAGACTTTAACACAGGGGTAGCTCTGGTTCGGAGAGGTAGGACCACCGCAGGAGGAAGGGTAAGGTTTTAGCTCTTAGCTCTGACCTCTTGGCTTTCTTCTTTGCATTGGTTCTGTGTTTCTTATTTAATAAGAAGGTTGGATACATCTACAAAGTTCAGCTAGAGACCACCCAATCTCTTTCTCTGGCCTCTGCATGCATAAAGGGGCATGTGTACACACAACATACACACACACACTAAATAAATGGAATAATTTAGGTTATTGATACTCATTTACGTTTTCAATGTATAGGACAGAATATAAGTTGTTTATAAGGAGGACTAGTTTAAATCCCCACCACCACCATGATGAAGCATTATCATAGGTTCCTACCACAGATAACCCCGGGGGACTATTGGGAACGATCCACACTGGCACCCAGAAGAATGTGTGGTCAGTGATGAAGACATGCTATTTGGAAGATGCTTCATGCAGTAACTCTGTGTCCTAGTTTAAAATAAAGAGGGTCTCAACTAGAGAAAGCAGGGGGAAATTGCTGTTAACTAATGTTCAGAGACTGTTTGGACAGGAGTGCAGAAATCAATAGACCTGGAGCTTGTAATTCTAGCTCTGCTACTTCTGACCCAAGACCTTCTGAGAGAACTAACTTGGCCTCCTTAATCCTTGGTTGCATCGTTCCTCAAACCAGGAAGATGCTATCAGCCAGGCTCTTGAAGGCACCGATTATTGGAACCAATTAGGAAGGCATTGTAAAAACTGTAAAGCGCCATGCCAACAAACAGTGGAAGCTAGAATGCTGCCCGAGACGGTGCTGTGGAGACAACCGCAAGTACAGGACATGCACGCAGCTCCTTCTGAGGAGAACACAACCTTCCAGGAAAGAGGAGTCTACTCGCGCAATACTGGCACAACTGATCTGGGGTCACCAACCGCTCTCTGATTAAACTTGGGGTCCACACCAGAGACAAGGAACCGTGCCTGGTACTGTAAAGCTAGTCCAGAACTCATGGCTAAGAAAGCCATAGGCCCTGGTGGGTAACTTACTACTATTTACGACACAGGCACAGTATCTAAATATTTCTCTTTACATTCTCTATAGACAGATGCTATTCTCAGCATCTCTCCGCAAGTGACTGCAGCCTCTGACGGCTCAAGGTGCTGGGAATACGTGACAGTTGTCGAATGCTCGGCTATACGCAAGACATTTGTACCACTCCCTTTGAGGAAGGCTCAGGGGACACAGCAGAAGAGCCAGGGGAAAAGGAGAAAGGTGCAAAATGCCACCTTCTGGGCAGGGCACAGCCACTGTCATCCCAAACCCACAGCAACTGCAGTTACCTGCACTGGGCCAGCACAAGACTGACCCTGTCAACAGTCACGGATGGGAGAAAGGGGCTCACGGAACTCTACTCCTTACTGCTGAACTATTGGCTACCGGTAAGTTCTGGGAGAGAGGAGTTACTGTTTTCAGTTGTATGCCTAACGGGGAGCCTACCACGTTCCAATGAATACTCTCAAGTCCATGGTCACACCGATGGCCCCGGGGAAACTCAGAGGGTCACAAATGAAAACAAAAAGGCATGAATATGGGAAAGGGACTTACAGGGGAAAGGAACTGGCATGGGTGAGTGGGAAATAGAGAGTAGGGCGAAAGTAATCAGAAGGCACTGTATGCATGCGTGAAATCAAAAAATAATTCATTAAAAAGGGAGGGAGGGAGGCAATGATCTGTGGGGAGACCCAGAAGCCATGGTGGCTGCAGGCAATATCTAATCAGCCACCAGACAAATACCAGATCTTGTCAGATTCACAAGTCCCTAACAACAGTCACCAGTGAAAGGGTGATCGATGTGGTCATTAAGTTTGGGTTGTTTAATTATCGGAAATGTATTAATTTAGTAACCACTATGGACCAAGTACCACTGGCGATGCTGGAGGTCTCACACTGCACATAGTTTCCATCTAATACAGCCAACTTTGCAGTCATTCCTCATCCGTGTGACCTGTAAAATACATATCCTAAACACGCAGATGTACCAGGCTTTCTTTTGGCTACCAACCAGCTCCCAAATCATGACTCAGATGACTTATTACTTATAATGCTCAGCCTTATCTCACGCTTGTCCCATCAGCTCTTCTAACTTAAATTAACCTGTTTCTCTTCATCTATGTTTTTTTTTTTTTTTTTTTTTTTTTTTTTTGGTTTTTTCGAGACAGGGTTTCTCTGTGTAGCTTTGCGCCTTTCCTGGAACTCGCTTTGGAGACCAGGCTGGCCTCGAACTCACAAAGATCCGCCTGGCTCTGCCTCCCGAGTGCTGGGATTAAAGGCGTGCGCCACCACCGCCCGGCTCATCTATGTTTTGCCTTGGGGCTTTTTACCTTTCTTTCCTTCTGCATGTCCTACTCTGTGTCTGGCTGACCCTAGGCGTCTCCCTCTCTTTCCCCCTCATTCTCTTTTTTCCTCTCATTCTCGAGCCTAAATTCCTTCTACTTATTCTCTCTGCTCGCCAGCCCCACCTATCCCTCTACTGCCTAGCTACTGGCCGTTCAAGCTTTTCATTAGACCAATCAGGTGCCTTAGGCAGGCAAAGCAACACATCTTTACATTGTTAAACAAATGCAGCATAAACAAATGTAACACATCTTTGCCTAGTTAAAGTCACATTCCACAACACATAGACCCACCCATGTTGCTTCGGTTATAATGTTTGATTTTTTGTTGTTGTTGTTGTTGTTTTTAATTAAGCAAAAACTCCAAATGAAAGTGTTAACAGGAATGCTCTACTTGGTCTGAATGCAGTAAATACTTTATTCCCTGTTTTAATCTTCAGGGCATGTTTTACAACATACCAAATAGCTGCCACTATATGAGAGGCACACTAGAGAGAATATTTTGTGTGTGTGTGTGTGTGTTGGCTTGGAGTACAACACTCCTCCACATTCTCTCCCTCACCCCCAAGGAAAAAGAAAGCATGCTGGAATCCATCCAATAATAACCCTGGTTTTAACACGGAGCATATCAGTTATTTTAGAAGCATTTCCTGCAGACATTTTTTTAAAGAGTAAAAATATATATACATATTGAATTATTTATTTTAGAAACTAAACTCAAGTTCAATTTTTAACATGCCAAATGGCTGTCTTAGCAAAGTTTCTATTTTAAAAAAATCTGTTTTACTTAATTTAAAAAATGGGGGGTGGGGTGGTGCTGAGAACTAGGCTGCCCAAGACATAAGTCATCCCTGTTGCCCAAAAATTCAATATGAGTTGGAAGGGAAAAAGCTGGTGAAGGAGGAAGAGGAAGCTACGGAATGCCCACAGGTTAATATTTCAGACTACTAATCTCCAAACCCACACACGTGAGACATACTGACAGCCAGTGTTCAACAGGAACAGCAAGGAAGAGAACAGACATCCAACTAAATGTAGGACAGGGAGGCAGCCCGCGGACGATCACTTGCCTAGCACTTCCGATGCTCTGGGTTTCACTGATCCCCAACACTGAAAAAAGAAAGAAGGGGAGAAACAAGTGTCTACGATGGTATTCAAGTCCAGGGCCAGGATCCCCGAATCCATGAAGCAGGTCAAGGACAGAGTCTAGGAATCTGCATTTCCACGCTTACCACAAATAATCAAGTAATGCTGATGCAATCCTGGGAGCCTCTGAGTCGCTCGCTGCATTTACTTGTTGAGGGAGAAAGGTGTTGAAAGGTTCTTACTGGAATAACAGGAGCTGGCTGGCTGGTGTGTCCCATTCATCGTCACTCCTGCCCTGTCGTAGGAACCATTACTAAGGATGCCACATGACTACTCATCTTACAGATTTACAAGTACTAGTTTAAGATGGTTAAAAAAAAAAAAAAGAAAGAAAGAAAGAAAGAAAGAAAGAAAGGAAGGAAGGAAGGAAGGAAGGAAGGAAGGAAGGAAGGAAGGAAGGAAATTCTACATTAAATCAGATCCTACCTGTTCTGGTGGGAGTTCCACCTCAGCCTCTGGCACCCTGGCATCCATACACCCAGTGAGTCTGGCATGTTCTGGTGGATGTTCCTCTCAACTCCCCTCCCCCATCTCTTTCCCTAAACCCACCCCCTTCAAAGGTCAAACACAGCTCCTCCCCAAACCCGCCCCTTCAAAGCCCGTCAAACACAGCTCCTCCCCCAGAGAGGCTCAAGACCACTCCCACAGGGTATTTAAGCTGCATCCCAGAAAACAACACATGGTTTTCCAGTCTCTCATCACCTTCTCCTCTCTGGGGGCTGGAGAATCATCCGGGAACACTTTACCCATTAAACTAGGGCCTTTTCTAATTTGGTCTGATTTGGTTTGATTTGGATTGCTGCATCGGCGGAGAGGCTTAGCGGGGTGCAAAAACCTTTCACTACCTTTATAATAAAAGGAGTCTAGTTAGAGCATGCTAATGTATTTAGTCAGGCCTGCAATTCTTATTATCTTTCAACTAAAGGGCAGAGATGTGGCTCAGTGGCAGAGGGCCCACCTACCGCCCCAAGAGGCTGGGTCGTGGAGGTGAAGAAAGACTAGCATGCCAATGAATCATTCCTTGAAGCCCAGCCCAAACATAACCCCCTCATGAAGCCCTCCCAGATAGCCCACTTATTGGGGGCTTTGCGATTTCAGTGCTCCTCCTACAAAGAGCACAAGCTGGTGTTTATTCCCAAGATTCAATTGGCTTACCTTATCCATGTCCAAAGCACCTCACCTCCTCACCCTGTGCTCAAGCTGCCTGTCTTCCTTCTGGTTCTCCACGACCTCTCCACCTGTTCTTTTATGGGTTCCTTTCCATCTGACCACTAGAATATGAAAATGTTCAAGCAGCTTCCTCCTACCCTGCGATGTTTAGTACTGATTGTCACACTGAAAGGATCTAGAATCATCGAGAAGGCAAGCCTCTGGGTATACCTATGAGGATTTTAGCTTAGGTTAGCCCCTAGCCATACCTGTGGGGGATTATTTAGGTTAGGTTGATTGAAGTGGGAAGACCCACCTTGACTGTGGCCAGCATCATTCCAGGGGCTGTTGTGATGATTAGGGTTAACTTTCAACCTGGAATCATTTGGGGGAGAGGCCTCTGCAGGTGCTTGTAGAGAATTATATTGAATGTAATAACTGAGGTGTGAAGGCACACTCACTGTAAGTAGCTACTCCTTGGTTGGGATCTAAACTAAAGAAATGGAGAAGAGAGGCGTGAAGCAGCGTTCATTCGTCATTCTCTGCTTCCCGATGGATGTGATCATGAACAATTCCATCAGGCTCCTCAGCTTTGACCTCTCTGTCGTAGAATATTAAAGACGTGCTACATTTGTTCATGCTCTGGAACATCTGCTTTAATGATATAAAGATGTTTTACTTTTGCTTGTGTTGCATCTGTTTAACTCTGTGAAGCTGTGTTCCTGTGCCTGTCTAAAACACCTGATGGTCTAATAAAGAACTGAACGGCCAATAGCAAGGCAGGAGAAAGGAGAAGCGGGGCTGGCAGGCAGAGAGAATAAATAGAAGGAGAAAAAGAAGGAAAGATCAAGAAATGAGAAACTAGGAAGAGCAAGAGAGAACAAAGGGAGGAGGATGCAAGGGGCCAGCCACCCAGCCACCCAGCCACCCAGCCACCCAGCCACCCAGCCAGCCATGGGGTAACAATGAAAGTAAGATACAGATGTAAGAGAAAGAAAAAAGCCCAGAGGCAAAAGGCAGATGGGATAACTTAAGAAAAGCTAGCTAGTAACAAGCCAAGCGAAGGACGGGCATTTATAACTAAGAATAAGCCTCCATGCATCATTTATTTGGGAGCTGGGTGGCAGGTCCCCAGAAGAGCAAAAACAAACAACACCTCCCTGCCAGGATGAGCTGTACTCTGGGACTCTGAGCCAGAATAAGCTCATGGTCACAATGTGATGAGTCACCTCTCCTGCTACCATGACTTCTCCACCAAGACAGACTGCACCATCAAACTGAGAGGCAAAATAAAGCCTTCTTCCCTTGAGCTATTTTCACTGGGTATTTTATCATACCAACAAGAAAAGTCACCGAGATCCACACCTCCTCACACTTCATGGAAACCTTCCAAGTGACATCAAATGATGGCCAGGCCCAGCTGCCAGCTGTGCTCTGATGAGTCCCGCCGTCCCATCAACACACACCATTCATTCACCCTTCGCTAACATGTCCTAAGCACCAAACACCACATTCCTAGCTGGACCTCCCTTGACACGGCTACATCCTGACAACTATACCAAAGTGCAGAGGCTTCTGTGACCCTCGCACTTCTGTGACCCTCAAACTCTAACCTGCGTTACAGCTGTTCCCACAGACATATTCCTCACATTTAGGACACAACACTGAGATGAGTCTTACGAAAAATTGACTTTTTAAAAATGGCACTGCTTTTCTTTAATATATCATGGTGGCCTTAAAAAAAAAAACTGTCATCCTCTAGTCAATGCCTGTGAAAGATCTCAGTGGACGCTCCCCTCCGCTGCCCAACAGCAGCACTACCCAACAGAACACTCTGAGGATGAAAATGTACCATATCTGTGATGCTCATTACAGCAGCCACTGGCTACATATACCTTGAAATTGTGACAAATATGACCGGGGAAGTGAATTTTTAAACTTGAATTGTTCTGGAAGAGGTTACCGGTTTCTTGCTCTCCATCCCTCTCTGTGGTTCAGCCCTTCTCCAAGCAGTCGCTGCCTTCTCCCTGAAACACAGCCTTGGTAGTTTGAATAGGTATGGCTTCCCACACTGTATGAATGCTTGGCCCATAGGGAGTGACATTTAGGAGATATGGCCTTATTGGAACAGGTGTGGCCTTTTTAGAGGAAGTGTGTCACTGCAGAGGCGGGCTTTGGGGTCTCACTATGAACAGTCTCCTTCTGCTGCCTGTGGATCAAGATGGAGAACTCTCGGTTCCTTCTCCAGTATCACATCTGCCTGCATGCTGCCATGTCCCACCATGATGATAATGGACTAAACCTCCAAAACTACAAGCCAGCCCCAATTAAATACTCCCCTTTATAAGAGTTGTCGTGGTCATAGTGTCTCTTCACAGCAATAGAAATGGTAACTAAGACACAGCCCTTTAAGAACTTTCTTAGTAAAGACAAGTGATAGCGAAATTGGGTTGACTATTTTTCCAAAAGTTTCCCCCCCTACCCCCTCCTTTGTTGTTGAAGGACAATTCTGACGGCACAAAAAACAACAGTAATTTCTTTAAGGTGTTGTTACTGTTTGCAGTACCAGGGATCAACCTCAAACATACTTACTTGGTCAAAAGGGGGTTTGTATGTACGTTTTGATCTTATTAAAATTACCTATGATAATTTTAACTATCAAGGCCAAATAAAAATAGAGGCAGAGCTGAAGTCTGAGTCACTAATTCTGCTAAATGAAGGCACAGGACATACAGGAAGCTTAGACTACAGAGAAACGAAGGGAGGCTGAGCTTCCCAGGAGCTCAGAACCGGCACTTCGGTTGTCAGAAACGAAATCATGTTTTCAAGGAGAGGTTTAATTTAGTCAAACAAAATTATCTGTCATGATAAATTATGTTAATTTGAATTTTATTGGTTTGTACTCTTGTTTGAATTTACTCTATAAATTTTTCATTGGTTTATAGTGATAGAAGAGCTAGAAGCATGAAGTTTATATACCTGGTTTTATGTTCGGGCATATTTAAGGTACATCACAACAAAATTATTTATTACTGAGGATTTATGAGATTTTTTCCCCCTTTAAATAAAGAGGCACATGAATTATTGAGGTTTAAGGCACGTTGGTCTTTAGATACTTGGCCACCTTTGGTACATTCGTCATACTCCCCACAAACGAACAGAGAAGCGGGACAGAATGGCATAAGCAAGCCTTCGTTTGCTAGCTCCACCCCCCTGTACCCCAGGTCTCCAGCTCCATGAATCATCTATCACGACGGAGCATTTGGAGGCGGCTTGTCCTCTCTTTCCTCCAACAGGAGTCGTTTCCAATAGGAAAGATGACTGGAAAGACTGCTTAGCCCGGCTCCCGCCACCCCCCACTTTGGCTAGACTAGTAGTTAACACAAATGTACCTGGCCACAGTACAACAGGAACATGTCACACAAAGAGTAATCCCCGGCCCAAGGAAGCCCATTTCCTGATGGGGCTCAATAGCCGGGACCGCAGAGGAATGGAGCATTGTTTTTTTCTGAATGAGTACAACGAGCCTGTAACCATTTAAACTCCTTGTTTAAACCATTTAAATTCCTTGTTCTTTACCGACTGTCCCGCCTTCACCTCCAAAGGGTTCATTTTAAAGTCCTGCTCTCAAGATGCAACTTTTTGCAACATAGTTGCCATATGTGCATACCTTGTGCTTCTCTTCTCGCGGGTCTGCCTAACCGAAGAGAGAGATCACAGCATTCACGTGTCTCCCTTACGGCAGAGAGAGGGGCATGTGGCTGTCTGATGCCTTGAAGATGGTGGCAGAGACCTTGCTGAATAGGATTTAAAAT